TTCTCCATCTCAGCTCTGGGCCTCGCTGGCTAGAGAAGGGGTCAGACAGAGGGGTGTGGGTGTCTGGTGGTAATAATGTGAGGTGCTTCGCGTGTCCGTTTTGAGATCAGTTTGCTCCCACACTTCCTTTTTACCTGCATTCTGAATCCCTCAGTGTGCTTCTCTGGCCCTGAGCCCTTGTTTCTTCTTGCTAAAGAAAATGCATGCTTTAAGACATGGCTTCAGTTTTATTCCTCATCTGTCAAGGTGGTTTGTTTCGGTGGCTCCAGGATTGATAGCTTGCACATGGCTTAGATGATGTTCACAATATGTTCTTCTGTGGTTTCTGGTTTTAAGGAATTAAATTGAACCAGGAATTTCATATGAAATAGGATTTTTGAAAGAGGTGGGAGATCACAGAAGTTTTGTTTCATTATTCCATTTTTTTAAAAAATGATTGTTATTTGGATGAAATTCCTTTCTTTTGTCTTTGGCCAGATAGGACAAGCAACTTTTATATGATTTCCTACTTTGTCTTTAGTGTACTGTATTTTTCAATTTAAAAGAAAAAAAAAAAAGCCTGAGACTCATTGTTAGGTCTGCTGCTCTCTAATGAATCGTTGGATTGGAAAATAACTCATTATATCATCAGGCAGAGATATGTTCCTTTATTTGCATGTAGATAGTGAAGATGAATAATTTATCAAATGTTATTAGTGCAGGCTGCATATTACTGGAGTCTCAGCAGGGATATAATGAAACTTGTCTCATCCTACTATGACCATGACATGCCTTTGCACAGCCATGACTGCACCTTGGGCATCTCTCAGAAAACTGGTGTAGCCATGCCAGTCTTGTTCACCTGCCCAACCACTGGACTTTTGACTGAAGCGTTCAACTTTTCTTAAATCTCTGAAATTTGGTTTGCCAAACACTTGCTTGACTCTAGCTGTGTTCTTGTGTCAAAGTAAAACTTTCCAGAATGAGTGGATTCCTTAATGTTTCTTATTAAAGTGATTAGTGCAAAAAGGCTGTGACTGATGGTTTTATTACTTCTGGTCGTGAGAAGCTGTCTGTTCAGGAGATGTTTAAGCAATCTGTCTTTCTGAAATGAGGGGTGATGAGACGTGTATATAATTGCTTAGAATCTTATATCTGCACTAATTATGCATCTGCAGTTATTTTAAATGATTGCCTTATAAAGGTTGCCTTTGATTTGCCTTTGGCATGATTGCATTGGGAGCTCAACAAATTACCCCCCGAAAGTCACAATAAAGCTGTACAAATGGTCAAAAGCAAATTATGCCTTATTTTGGAACTTGACTAAAAGCATTCAGCAAACTGAGAAATTTATTTATGATGACAACTGGAGTCTCTTTACAAACAGTACAAGTCTGTGGTGTTGTACCGGGGCTGCTCCTGTTTTCTCAGCTGCTGGACAAGTTCCTTCATCCAGGGGGAAGCGGGCTGTGAAAGTGAGGAGCTTTATTGCTGCTGCTGAGATGGCTCGGTTGATTTGGGGAACTGTCAGTTATGGTGGAGATTTTGGTGGCAACTAATAGAGAAGGTCTGCAGCTCTACTGGACCTAGGCTGCTGGCATTTGATACACAAACTATGGACAGGCGAACGAGCCTGGGTTTAACAGGGAATTCTTGTAGGTGAAACAGGGATAGGAAGTTTGAGAAGCTCTCCACGTACTTTCAGTTGACTGGAGCTTCTACGTGAACAGAGCAGAGGCTGGAGTGAGCCCAAGCCACCCACCCTTGTCTGCCTGATGGAGCCTGCATGCACATCCACAGGACTCGGAGAGGACCCAAGGTGCCAGGGAGAAAAGACAAGGTGGGGCCAACTGGAAATGGCCCTAATGTGAAGTGCCCCCACTGGCTCACTCGGAGCCATTGGTAGAGTAGGAATCTGCCTTGCTCAAGGTGTTTAAGAACGAGTGTGATCAGTCTTTGGCTTCACAAACACTGTCAGTACAGAGGTGACTCCTAGGAAGCCATTCCCGAAACAGGGATATCGGCAACCATTCATTGTGGAGAGGAAGAGCTTTGTAGATTTAGTCTCCACAGATCAACTGTCCTTGGGGGGCGGTGTGAATTTTGACTTGCTGTGATATGTAATCCCAGAGGTCAAGTCTTCAGACTCCATCATGATTCATTGAAAGAAATCAAGTGTGACCATGTTCCTGATGAAGAATAGTCGATCCTTGTTCCTCAGTGGCCAACAGTGTTGGATTTAGAAGACAAGGATTCAAGAAAGTAAGGGAAGGCATAGTGGAAAAATCCAAGAAAAGGATTGTGATAGTGACTTGAAAATAGAAGTTATGAAGAGGAACACGTGGAGAATCTGGAGTTGAAAAGCGCAGAAACAGATTGAAGCCTTCTTCGGGGCCCCGCTGCAGGTTTCTAGGTGGCTTACGGAAATTACCAGTCACGTTGGAGAGTGATTAGAGAAATGATCCTATCTGAAGAGCAGAACTAAAAGGAGCAGGGCCTCTCTCATTGCTGACTTTAGATGTCACCCTGACTGAAGGGGTACTCGGCTATCTGTTGAAGCATCTTTACTGTCCATGCTGTGACAGGCACTGAGCCTTCCCCCTCTGCTGAAAGGGAAGCTGTGAGGTTTTGATTTTGATTAGAGCAATGAAGATGCTCTGGGGGTGTCTGTGATTTGCTTCCAGAGGGGACGGCCTTGGGGGTTGGTGAACTGGGTGATGAAGATTTGCCCTCAGGGTGGGTGGGACTATCCAGTCACCTGGAGACTCGTGGACAAAAGGGTGGATTCTTATTCTCTTTTCAAGAGCTGGAGCACTTGTTTCCTCTTTGGCTTTGGACTTCAGAACTTCAGATTCTTTAGCCTTTGATCTGAGATTGGTACCAGTTGCTTCCAGGGCTATTAGCCTGAGCCTTGACTGCAGATTTGCACCATCCACTTCCTGGGTTCTGAGGCTCTGTGCTTGGACTGAGCCGTGCTCCTGGCTTCCCTGTTCTCTGACTTGCAGATGGCCCATCGTGGGAACTCTTGGCCTCCACAATCAAGTGAGCTGACTCCCTAATCAATCCCTTCCCTTCTCTCTCTGTAGCCTCTCAGTTCTGTTTTTCTGGAGAACCTTGAGTAGACAACCTCAGAGACCTCTGTGGCCACATCCAGCACACTAACACAATGTCATGGGAGCCGCAGAGGACTAGGATAGAGTTCAAAAACTAAAACAAAAACCTACTGGGTGAAAACATCACAAACCTAAGGAAAGACTTTGTGGATCAAAAAAGCTAATTCACTTCCATATGGAAAAATCAGATCCGTGCCTGGACTCCCATCAGCAAACTGTTGAAAGGCAAAGTGAAAATTTTGAAAGGAGAAGTAACACTTATGAGGGAAACAACAATGAGGTTAACGGTTGACATCAGAAGCCAAAAATGTCAAAGGAATGTGGCATGTTCAAAGAAAAAGCTGGCAATTAGTAACCAATTATTGAAAATTATCTTTCACAAATGAAGGAAAATATAGTCTCAAAGAATGATTGTTGCTAAATGACTTGATTTAGAAGATACTAGAAAGTTCTTTAGGCAGAAAGGAAGTAGTATCTCATGAATTTCAAGAAACCACAGAAAGTGCTAGAAATGGTATACAGGTCGGTTAATATACTCCTATAAGTATGTATTTCATGTTTTTTCTCTTTTAAAATGAAAATTATAGCGCTGTTTTTAGCTTTGTGCAACTATGTATATAAAGTGTGATAGCAATTCCATTAAAGAAGCAGGAAGAGAAACGGTCTCGGCTGACGGATAAGTGATCTCAGACCCCTACTGTACAGAGAAGAGGCTAAGTAGATCCTAGACCTCAACATAAGCACATAAGAAGAAAATACAGAATCTTCACGTCCTTGGGATAGGCACATCTATGAGTTCTTAGATATGAAAACAAATCCATGAGCCATGGAAGGAAAAGTAGAAAAATTGAACATTGAATTGAAAAGCATTTACTTTTAAATAGAAGCTACTATCATGAAAATGAAGCTTTAAGCCACAGTCTGGGGGAAAATATTTACAAATCTCCTGAAGAAGGTGGGCATACAAAATGGTATCACTGTGAAAAGTGTCTTTCTTAAAAAGGTAAACATAGATTCACCAGTTTTACTCTTAGGCATATGTGCAAGAGAAATGAAACATGTCCATAGAGACATTGTAAGAGCCATTCTTTGAAACAATCCAAATATCCATCATCTGGTCAGTGGGTCAGCAAAATGTGCCGTATTTGGTATGGGACTATTTTGAGAGGTGACAGAAATGGTCTAAAGTTGGGTAATTGTGTTGATTGCAAAACTGTATAAATTCACTTACAATCATTGAATTGTATGCTCACACTGGGTAAATCTTACAGGATACAGCATATGTCAGAGTAAAGTTGTAGAAAATAGTACTGTACATAAAAAACCAAATGACAAATCTGGTAAGATAAATGAAGAATGTGAAAGGGGTATGCAAATTCTTAGTACTATCTTTTGTATAAGCCTTAAATTATTTTATTGCTTAAAAAGTTATAAAATTATAATGGCACTTAGTAGTAGTCTGATTTTCTTATGTGACAATTTATAAAAATAAATTTAAAAAGTGTGTTTTAAAATATCAAACCATAAAATGCAATTTTATCTTGGCTTTTGATTATTCTTTGATTTTCTGTTTGCTTTGAGGGGCTTCTGTTTTTTTTTTTTTTTTAAATAGAGCATTTATACCTGTGGGACTATTCCGAGGACTTGTCTCTTTCTGTTTCTCAAGTATACAACAAGAGTATGCAACTTAGTGTAAGCAAAATACTTTTAACTGCAGACCTAGAACACAGCTGTTTTTCTTCTGAACTTTTTCCTAGGTTCAAATGACCACACCTTCTCTAGGGTGCTTTTTTCTTTCCCCTCATAAAAGACGAAACTAAATGCAAACGTTAGCACATTTGTTGAAAGCGGAAAATTAAAGTGGAGTTGTGCAACTCACTAATGTATACTTATGTTCTTGATTTGAAGGCCACTCTGTGCGACTTCTGGGCCAGAAGAAGGATAATGGAAAACGGCTGGGGGGAGCTCGGTTGGATTTGCCCAAGATCAGGAAGAACCCACTGATAGAAATAATTTCCATCAATACCGGGTAAGTGTTTCTCA